CAGAGCAGAGTTTAGGGCTGTTGTACATAGGGTCGCTATGAGTCACAGGCAACTCGACGGCACATAACAACAGCAACAACAAAACATTTGGTTTTTGGGGTTTTTTTAATTTTATTTTCTTAAATAAAATTTTTATTTTATACTGGTTTGCTTACAAAGTTCATATACATTGCTTTTTCACAACAGATCTTTCCCATTTCCTTTACCCACTTCTCCCTCTTCACGTTAAATTATACAGCCCTATGATTATTCCCCTACCCATCCTCACCCTACTGCTCCTCCCCTCATCCCCCTGGATCCTCATACCCGTTTACTAGTTACCCTTCTATTTCTACAATAACGGTCTTATATAGCACTGTCCTCATGAGACGGAGAGAGTTCACTTAGCAGAATACTCTCCAGTCCCTCCCAAGTTAGGTAGTTATTTTCAAGGCCATTGCTTCTCATGCTGTGTAGTATTCCATCATGTGAATGTACCACGAGTTCTCAGCCAGTTCAACATTGGTTAGGCATTTGGGCTGTGTCCATGTTCTCACTATGGTGAATAACACCGCTATGAACACTGGTGTACAAATCTCCATTTGTGTCTCAGTTCTAATATTCTTGGGGTATATTTCATGCAGTAAATAGCTGGGTCATATGGAATTTCCATGTTCAGGGGATGTTTTTAGGAAACATCAAACTGCCTTCCAGAGTTCTACATGGGTAATATTATGAAAACTGGCTTTTTACACTTTATGTAACATTAGTGTCGCTGTTGCAGACGGATCACTTATTGATGACACCAAATCATGATGTTACCAGGAATCAGAGAATTTGGGTTTCCACTTACTTTTGCTGCCTATTTATTCTGTTATTAACAAATGAAGACTTAGATACTCTTACATCCATCCTTGAAAAGAAAATAGTAGTACTTGCCTAATACTAATTCTTACTGGGTTACTCTTTTTATCGCCCTCTTGAGGGCTTCTTTGATGTCCTTATTTCTGAGACTATAGATGAGAGGATTTAACATGGGGATGATAATGGGGTAGAACAATGACAGGACTTTGTCCTGCTTCAGGGACTGAGTAGAGTTGGGGCGCATGTACACAGAGAGAGCTGTGCCAAAGAACAGCGTCACAGCTGCCAGGTGAGAGACACAGGTATTGAAGGCCTTGATACTCGCTTTGCCGGAGGACATTTTAAAGATGGCAATCACGATGAAGCTGTAGGATAAGAGAGTAACAAGAAAGGAGCCAAACACGAAAAAAAGGGCTTCCAGAAGAAGGATTAGTTCACTGATGAAGAAATTGGAGCAAGACAAGGGGATAATCTTGGGTAAATCACAGAAGAAATGTTGTATGACATTTGGACCACAATAGTAGAGATTAAAGCAACAGATTGTCTGTGCTAAGCTGCTAAGGAAAGCAGTGCTATAGACCCCAGCAACCATCCTCCTACAGACGCCAGGGGATATAATGACTGAGTATTGCAGAGGCTTGCCAATGGCTACATATCGGTCGATGGCCATGACAGCCAAGAGGCAGCATTCAGATATGCCCATCCAGGCTGCAACAAAATACTGAACTGCACAAGCAATAAAGGAAATTGTTTTATCGCATTTTAAGAAGTCTGAAATCATCTTAGGGCTGATGGAAGAAGAAAAACATATGTCTATTAAAGAGAGAAAAGTGAGAAAAAAGTACATAGGTGTGTGCAGATGAGAGTCTATCCTTATCAGGATGATAAGACCTATGTTCCAGATGAGAGTTACAAGGTAGATTCCTAGAAATATAGGAAAGAAGATGATTTGAAGCTCTTTATCATCTGAGAGACCCAGGAGGATAAACATGGTCACGGAGGAGTGGTTCCCGTTCCATCCCATAGGCCTTCCTGATGCCATCTGCTGAAGAAAAGGGGGAAAAGGGAAATCACTGTATTTTAACTCAAAAGAAAAAGAATCATTGTTTATTTTTTAAATCCTGAGATAGCCTCAAATCATAAGGATTAGGTTATTCTATGCCTTCTAAATACAATCATTAATTTTAACTGAAAAATGTGTGTGTGTGTGTGTGTGTGTGTGTGTGTGTGTGTGTGTGTGTAAAATCTCAGGCTGTATGGTGAAAAGATTGAGATTGTTCACAGCTTTAGTTTGCTTGGTTCCACAGTCAACACTTGTGGCACTAGTAGCCAGGAAATTAAAAGGCACATTGCCATGGCAAAGTCTGCTGTTAGGGACCTCTCCAGAGTACTGAAGAGCAATGGTGTCTCTCTGGAGACAAAGGTGCGTTTGATACAGGCCATGGTCTTCACAATCACTTGTTTTTGAGGCTCCATCTCATATACTTTGGGTATGTTGTCAGGTGGGACAGGTCCTTGGAGAAGGACATCATGCACAGAAGGGTAGAAGGATAGCACAGAAGGGGAAGACCTTGGATAAGATGGGTTGATACAGTAACTGAAGCAATGAGAGTTGCTGTGTCAGAATTAGTGAGATTAGCTCAGGGCAAGGCATATATATTGTAACAGTGGTATTATGCAGTATGTGTCCTTTTGTGACTGAGATATTTCACTCCAGGTTCTTCCATGTTATGTAATTTTTTAAAAACTTTGTTGTTGTTGTTGTTGTGTGATGTTTTACTATTTTGTTATTTTTCAGTGCCATGTAATATGCCATTGTGGTGATCTACCACACTTTTTCTATCCATTCGTTTGTTGATGGACTTTCAGATTATTTCCATCTCTTTGATATTAAAGATAACGCAACAACAAACATGCATGTGCATACATCTCATAAAGAAACCAGTGTAGCTCTGGTTTCTTTAGAGTATATTCCCAGTAGTGGAATTGCTTAGTCAAATGGTATTTCTATTTCCAACTTTTTGAGAAAGCATCAGACCACCTTTCACAGTGGCTGCACCATTTTACATTCCCACCAACAGTGAATAAGGGTTCCAGGCTCTCCAAAACCTCTCTCTGAGCAACTGGTGGACTCAATCTGTATGTTTCTGGGTTTCTGTCAAAATACTGGCCACTAGGCTACTAGAAACTAGATCTCCATACACACAGGGACACACACACACACACACACACACACACACACACATATGGTAGCCTTATGATAAGCAATTGTTCTGACAACTCAGTCAGGTGCTTTGAGTACACCAGATGATCACATGGAGAAAGATGGACAATCTTCCTCTGGTCCATTTATATCCTCTGAAGAACTACTATACGGACAACTCTGAGTCAGTTCTGAGTAACAGCACATAGCAACAACAGCATCAACATATGAGGAACCGTTCTACTCTGTAACACACGTGGTCACCATGAGTTAGAATTGATATCTCAGTAACATCCCTTATATAACTATCACCTTGCTCTAGTAGGTATCAACTCGTTTTAGAAACTTAGGTTAGGAAATAATATCTGAAACACTTTCAGTACCAGCAACAATGAAAATAAGTTTACTGTTACAAGATATTTGAGCTTGACCCATGGTTTGACCAATGGTTTCTCATATCTTCTAGAACTTAATGTTAATCAAGATATTTAATATTTACTCAAGAATCATACATCCTGAGGATTACTCATCTCTGACTTTTTAAAAGAAGTGAAAACATTAATACATAATAATATGTATTAATAGCATCTAAAGATTACTACGTAGCTATTCTTCTGGCTTTGTGTTTTCCTATTTCTTGAAAACACGAAGATTAATTAGAGGTTTATCTAGCCCCATACACTGCTCCATAGTGTACTGACACAACCTGCCTTTTATATTATATTTCATCAGGTTTGCTTTTCAGGTTAAAAGAGCAACTCTGAAAGAAGGTCACTTATGACTTAAAGGACAATTTTACCAAATTATTGATAAATTTGTAATTATAGCTGTATCTTAGGTCCTTGACATTCCCTAAGTCCTCACCTAAAATTTCTTAAAAGGATTCCTTGCCTGCAAGTCAACTCCTTTTGCTTGGTGGTAGAAACATCTATTCAGAAGTGATGAATAGCAATTCCAACATTGCTTCTGAGAGCTTCCCAGCCCGTCAGAACTCTGAGCTGTTAGCAATATTTGGCTCCATCTTCTCAGAAAGGTAGCAGGTATGAAAGAAGAGTCTTCAATGTGTCAAGTGAACCTTCCTCACTCCGTCTAACAGAGAACTTGGAAGTTATTATCCACAACCAAAAAAGGGGCAATTAAAATCCTATGAGTTGTAAATAACTGTCCTCGTGGGTGACAGAAAGGAAGCTCATCTGTTAATTAGACCCTCCTTGAACAGCCTCCACGTTCTTCCTTCAGGGGAAGGAAGGAAGGAATCTTTTGAGACATTAAGATATCGAGGGACCTTCGGATGCCTCTTTGCTCTAATGGAAGAATCGCAGGATTGATAGGTTATTTTCAACTCTGTTATTTAGGAAACAAAGGATGCCACCATAGTGTTAGAATAATCCTTAGAGACCTCCGTCTGGAAAGACATCAGAAATTACAAATCACACTTGTGCAGAAAAGGGAGGGAGGACCAACTCTCTACTTTCTCAATTGAGGAAAACTCATTATTCAGCTCAGATTCTGTGAAGAACGTAAGAGTTTATAGGGCATTACACTGAGTGAAATAATTCCATCATAAACAGACAAATACTGCATATGACTCATATTGTGAAAGTCAGAGGATGACAGAATAACACATACATGAGTGTTCAAAGGGAAAGGTGAATGGACAAAGTGGGGTAGAAGAAGGAGCAAGGGAAAAATCATTAGATAGTAGGAATTATTAGGTGGCTGGGATGGTGGTGAAGGAATAGGAAAGATGCATTGGGAACTTGAAGAGATAAGGTGATAAAAGGCATAGATCAATACCATGGCTTAGAGCAGATGATTGTTAGTCAACAGGTGACATCATTGCCCTTAAGCCCTTTAGAAAACTCCTTGACAGCAAATCTCTCAATGTCTTTTGATTTCTTCCCTTCTGTTACCATGTATGTTGATTGTAAATCCATGTAAGATGAAATCATGGACAACTTCTTTCTTTCCTCCTTCTCTCATGATGCTTTCATATTGGTACAGTGATGAGGCTTTTTTTTTCTTTCTGATGTTGAGATTGAATCCATGTTGATGACTGTAGTCTTTGATCTTCTGTCAGTACTCAACTCGACAGCACCTAACGTCAACAACTTTCAGTCAATATCATTCTGACATCAGTCATGTTGTATCTTTTCTGAATCCAGCTTATCATTCTAGCAATTCCCTGTTGAAATGCTTTTCAATTCATTCTAAAATAATACTCAGCAGAATTTTACCTTTTTTGTGGGATTAATGATCTAGTTCAATAATTTTAACGTTCTATGGGTCAACTTTAAGATAGGAAAAAATATGGATCTTTTCCAGGGAGTTCGACCAGGTAAATGTCTTATAAACTTCCTGACACAGACTAACTTGCAAAACCAGGGTTGAATCTGTTGAAAAATGTCAGTGGATAGTTCATCAATTCCTGGGGCCTTATTTTTTGCTAATGCTTTCAGGGAAACTTGACTTTATCCTTCCTGTGGAAGGGACCACTCTTCAGTGGTTCAAATTCACTGTAGTTTTTTTATCTTTGTCGGTAAGCACTTCAAGCCTTCTTAATTTTCAGCTAGCAAATGTATCTTTGCAGATTGTTAATGATTCTTCCTTTAATCTTGATGTGACACTGTTCTTCCTTTTTTTAAGATTTTAATGAAGGTATATAAAGAACTTGGATTTCCATTCATTCATTGCTCCACCTTTTCCTCCCTGACACCCCTCCCCCCACCCCAGTTCGCTTTTTTCTTTGGGGAAAAAAGTTCTTTCATTGTTGTACAGTCCCCCTCTTCCCCAACCACTTTACTTTTGCTACAACTCTTATTCTGGACTCTTGTCATGCCAATAATACTAATAATGTTAATCATATATTCCTTTTATACAGTACTCTCTCTCATCTGTTTCAATGCCATGTACAGTATCCTCTCTTTTTTTAGTTTCCACCAACTTCCATATCAGTCCTGTTCTATAACAGTGGCTTTATGCAGTATTTGTCTTTTTGTGACTGAGATGTTTCACTTAGCATAATGTCCTCCATGGTCACCCATTTTGTATATTTAGTTCCTTAGATTATCCCTTCAGCATTCATACTGAATAAGGATGGTAAGAGGAAATAACCCTAACATATATATATTTTTTTCCTGGTTTAAACCACACAATTTCTCCTTAATATGTTCCAATGACTCCAAATTAAGTGTCTGGAATTCCTATTCTTCATAACGTTATTCATAATTTATTATGACCCACAAATGCCTTTGCATAGTCAAAAGAACACCAGTAGACGTATTTCTGGAATTCCCAGCTCGCAATCAAAATCCATTTGAGATTATCAATAATATAGTTCATTCCATGTCCTCTTCTGAATGGAGCTTGACTATCTGGAAGTTCCCTGTTCTCTATCAATATACTGCTTCAACCATTTTTTAATGATCCCACACAAATAAAAATTAACAATTTTTTTGCATTGATATTAATGATATTCTTTTTATTGTGTACAATTGAGTCAGAACTGACTCATAACTGACCCTCTGACAGGTTTCCAGAGGCAGTTAATCTCATGGGAGGAGATAACCCATCCTTCTCCAAAGGAATTTTGGAGATTGTAGCACAGCTTCTTGCCAGCAGGCCACCAGAGATCCTTGAGCTCCTTTGTTTTCTAATTTCTGTACTCTGTTTATTTACCTCTAGTGGTTGCTGTGATGCTAGACACGGTGACACTGATGTGTCAAGTGCAATAATGATTATCCATGGTGGACAGTGTTTCATGGAGCTCCCTGATTAAAACACGCTTGGAAGCATGAGTGGCATCCGCTTTCGAATTAGCT